ATATATTATATATAATATATATATATATCCATATACCTATATATGCACACATATATAAAAAATACATAGTCATACTATAACCTACGCCGTTATTTCCATTCTACCGTTATAGTTAAGTATTACCGGCTTTTCTGTTGAAAATCTCAAAGGCCAGTCAGGGATCACAGAAAACCGTTGGTCTTCATGGGAAACTACGCTAAAGAGGGTCGTGGTTTCGGTCTTGTTTATTGTGTCAAGTCTGTTTCTCGATAGACATGGAAAGTCATAGATAAAAGAATTCTTTGTTGTATTCACTTAAATAATAGAGAGAGATATGCCATTTTGTTCTGGGTACCTGCTGGAAATTATCAAAGCAATGAGGCATAGGACTTAGACAAAAATGGAGATTGAAAATCATAATCGCATAAACGGTATACATAGGAAGATGTTGTATACAAGATCCAGTTTTTTATATATACCAAAGTATGTTTACACTGGCATAAGCACTCTATGTTGATGAAATTCCTAATTGGCAATTTCTGAGCTAAGATCCTCCTCTCCGCTGTTATTCATTGTAAATGTTAAATGTAATTTTGCTTGGACTCATTTTCGATTATTTTTTAACCATTGTTATTTCTGAACCATTTTCAAAGAAAATTCACTAACATTTACCATAAAATATCACACTAATTGTTGGGGTCAAGAAAGGGGCGGAGCTAATGACGTCATCACGTATAGCCATTGAGAGTGCACCCGAGATATTAGATATAGCCAGATACATAATAATTTGTATGATATACTCACTATTGTTATGATTATCAGAACTAAAACCAAAATTCCCCTGTTTTATTTACGATAACGAAGAGTTCCTTGCCATTAACAGCCGTCAGAATACTTTAGATAAAAAGTCAATTCTATTCTTGGGATCAACTTCCTAATTTGAATTAGAGCTACTATTATAATTCCTTGTGTAGACATACGGTGCCTGTTTATAATAAGGTTATTAAGTTTTGTAAGGTAAGCTGATCACATGAAGGCCATATTTGTACAACAGTAATTTGAAGGTGTTATGTATAGAGATATCTATATCTGTATGTCTATATTTTCTTTCTTATTTTCTCTACAAGGAATAAAGGATATAATTAAGTTCATGACGCGAGCATTTATTTCAGTTTCAACTTCAGCAACTGAAGTGCATTTGAAGGTAAAACTGGAATAAAAGTTAAACATGAGCACACACGCGCGCATATGTGTATATGTATATATATATATATATATATATATATATATATAATATATATATATATATGCATATATATGTATTATAACTAGATTTACCAATGCAACTCCCTCCGGTGATTAACCTCGGGTTTCTACGCATCGCGCCTTGACTCAGGCATTCTTACCTTCAAGACCATGTGAAGATCAGTGGAGTTGCGAAGGTCGTGGCAATGATCACAGGACGACCAGGTAAGAGAATGGTCGTTTGGTCCACAAGCAAAAGTGAGGGTGTTGGTGGGACGAACAGGCACGTACAGCAGCGACAAGTGGAAGACCACGCACAACAGAATGTTCAAGCAAACGACGATTTTGTACTTGCCAAACTTGTCCGCGATGATGCCTGTGGATGAATCATGTCGATAAGCATGTAAAATCAGATGTAAAAATAGCTCAACATTTATGCATTCAGATACTGTGATGTAGGAGTTACCGATGTCTTAGCTCTCATGAAGACAAAATACATTTGTTTATAGACAACAATTTGGTAGACTAGGAAAAAATACACGGCAATGAACTAACATATTTCGTTCGGTATATTCCATTTGCATATAAACTGGGCTAATACAGCAAAATAACCTCCTCCACTTCCCTCCCCCTCCTCCTCTCCCTCTTTCCTCCTCCTCCCTCCTCCTCCTCCTCTCCCCCTTCTTCCCCTCCTCCTCCTCCCCTTCCTCATCAACTCTGTTATGTTTTATGATCTACTTAAATCTAATCAGAAATCAGTACTGCAACCTGAGCTTACCTGATATCGGCGGCCCGAGTAGAGAGGCGATGGGCAGGAAGGCATAAATGACAGCAATTTCCTTGACGGTTATGCCAAGCGTCTGCATGTGAAGCGTCAGGTATGGCAGGAAACCCGTAGCACCTTCACGAGAGAAGTGTACAATGTATTGTTAATTGGTGTTTAAAACGATGTTTTGATTTATATAGCATTTAATTCCTTATTGTCATAATGATTCTATTACATTTACTTTTTGTTTGTTTGCTTGATTTTTTTTATTGTAGTTATTTGTTTTCATGTGTATATGCGTATCTATATGTATGTATCTCTGTACACTTGGGTGCATATCATTAATAAAGCGTAAAAGCTTATTCTAATAGAGTTTGATAAGTAGTGAGTCAGATAGTTTTAAGTTTGACATTGTAAAACATTGCCGGTTGCATTATGAAATTGGCCGATTACGATGTGAAAATTAGCCGGTTACACTAAGAATTGGCTCTGATTTATAAGATTAGTCTCAGTTGATACTCTGTGATGTAACGTTGATGTAACAGGTAATGATAATGATAATGACTATGATGATAATGATAATAAACTTCCAAATACACTATTGCACTTATGCCACAATAAGGATGCTGTAATCGCTTGTAAAAGAAAAAAAAAAAGCAGTTATGGAAGTATATGATATCATTACTCACAGAAGTGTGCGTTGAAGTCTCTGACGCTGAGCCCTTTCGAGTTGTATAAATTACAAATAATAAGGATCCTGTATTCATAAACCGTATCCCTCTTCCTCTCCCCAAAACAAACAGAGTAAATTACATACAGACTGTCCTTACCACCACCACGTAATCGTTACGTAACACCCAACGCATGGCATGAATTATTTACGAGCGTTACTGACCTGTCGCACCTTATTCAGTGTCATGTTACTTATCGCATATTAACTTTTCCTGTTAGCTCTGGTTAGTAGGACAAGAACACTAACATGCTTGCTTCCTAAATGAAGTGTGAGGTGTCATAAGTATTTCTTCGCTAAATCATGATAAGTGAAAATCTTAATCCGAAAAAAATAAAAATGTGCATGTCATTTTCTTTGTATATGATGTGTTATATCTTCTAGAATTTTTAGATCTGACTTCCTCTCTTCGAAGGAAAATATACACGGGGATAGTATACAATACATAAATGATACTTACCCCCATAACATAGCAACCGAGACACGCAACAGACAGAAATGATTTGAAGGGTCGAACTGCCCATATGTCGACAGGCCACCTGACTCACCTCCCATGAAGAGGAAGTAAATAATCTTAATGGGTATCAGCTCCTTCCTCCAAGTCAATCCTTCTCTGAGTTTCGCTTTCCATCCTTTGTCGTTCATCTTCCCGGATTCCATTGCCTTCCGATTTCCGAAACTGCGAGAGGAAAATTTGTCATCATTCGAGTATATCAAATTATCCTCAAGTATATCAAATTATTATCAAGTATATCAAATTATTACAAGTATATCAAATTATTAAGTTATCAAGTATATCAAATTATTATAAAGTATATCAAATTATCATTTAGACATCGTCGTTAGGGGAAAGGAAAGAAGAGAAAAAAGATGGTAAGTAATTGGTTATTTGGTATTTCGCTAATACTGTCTGTTTTACAACCGTTTCTACATGATAAAGAGCAGGACACAGACATACTCACCTACAGTTCATTATCCAGATTGGACAGATAAGGAAAAAATGATATAGCGTATATAAGTATGTTAGAAGTTATAGGATTCTTTTGAGGAATTTTAGCAGAGGGAGTTTGAACACACATTTTCCTTCTTTATTCTCTGTTACTGCGGCATCTTCCGAAGGCACAAACTCGATCAATGATAATACTAAGAATAATAATGATAATGATAATGATAGCGATAATGGTAACAATAGTAGTAGTAATAATGACAATTATTACATTGATAATAACAATGATAATGATGCAATAATGACGATAATGATAATGATAATAGCAATGATAACAGTAATAATTATAACGGTGATGATAAAAACAATAATCTTAATAAAAGAAATAAAGATAATAATGGTTATAACAGTGATAATGATAAAAATGATAATAATTATGATATTGATGGTAATTATGATCATCATACCAATAAAGATGATGATAATGATGATAGTGATAACGATAATCATGATGATGACGATAATAATAATGATATGATAATGATAAATAAACAATGAAAATAATAATGAATAATAATAATGATAATAATAATGATAATGATAACGATGGTAATAATGATAATTTCAATGTTATCATTATTATCGTGATTGATAGTGATAGTAATGATAGTAATACTACTACTAATGATAATGTATTATGATAAAAATTAAAGTGATAAGGATGATAGCAATAACAATAATTATAGTAATTATGATTATAATAATAGTAATGATAATGATAATACTAAAAAGGAATAACTATAATGCAGATATTGATACTGATAGCCAAAATGATAAAAATTATAATGATAACATAATAATAACAATTATAATAATAATAATAAGAGATATGTTAAGGAAAAGAAATTAATGAACATTAATCCTATTAGCATTAAAAGGAAAAAAAAACACGTGATAACTGCGTCAATAGTGATGATAAAAAAGAAAAGAAAACATTAGCGTTAATATTAACCTGGTATTACTAATGGCAATGATGAAACTGATACAAACAGTGATAATGATAATAACAACAACAACAACAAACACTTCTCGACCGATACCATATGCAAATGAAGTCTAGTGCGTGATACAAAACAATGGTACAGAATCAAGGGAAAAGATAGAAAAATGGGATAAGCCTCGTATTTCTAAGTCGCCTTCAGGGACGAGACAAAATATACAGGCTAAGACTAAAATTCTGTATCTGTAATGCCTTCTATTATGCCCCGACGCATGCCTCCGCCCCTTCGCTTCCTCGGTGGAAAGGACTAGGCATATTGATAAGCGTAAACCGA